ATGAATATATAGAAGCTTCTCATGGGCTTCTAAGTCCAAATTAAGGCCCAATTCAGTTGATCCAAAATTCTGTCATACACTTGAAACTCAATAGTGACAGTCACGATTTTGCACTCTCAGCTTGCTCTAGAATGTTCCTTTTAACTTCAAATTGATAATGGAGTATGTTTGGATAGCTATCTCATCCTGAAATGCCTTGTTTTTTGTTTTGGAGTTGTAACTTGTAAATGAAGTAATCACTTTTCAAAGCAACTCATGTAATTAAGCCTCATCTCAAAATTGTGACATTGCCAATGTGTTTGAAATGCAATTTCTGGTCAGAATGACTACCCACATGACATGTTTATGACCTACAACTCAAAAAATGATTTTTCCCTCTTTTGAATCATTTGAAAAATCCTTCTTTTTAGGCCATTTTGAAGCACTTTGTGAAATAAGCCAATCCAACTCATTGTGACTTCACATCTCACCTAAAAACATCATTTTAAGCACATCTCATGTTGAACAATTTTTCATTTGAAGAGTGGAAGATGGAGATTTTGGCACATTCTTGAAAATGACCTATAATTCAACTTTCCTAAAATACCCCTGGATTGCCAAGATCATAACTTGAGTTCCACAAATCTTCATGAGGACTTCTAGTACTAAAATTAAAGCTAAGATCAATACCTACAACTCTTATGTTGTCCAAGAATCCATTTGAAAACTCCTTGAGGGGCAAAAGTTGCTTGGAAGTTAAGTGAATTTCACAGATAAATTTCAGTGTCCTCTGGTGACTTGTAACTTGCAAGAGCCATAACTTGAGTTCTACAAATATTATTGAAGACTTCTAGTACTAAAATTAAAGGTATTGAGAAGCTATAAAAGTTTCATGTTGGCCAAAGATCCATTTGAAACTTGTATTTTGACTTATGTGGCTTGGAAGCCCAGTGCTATACAGGGGATTTTACCCTAGGAACCCTGTCTCAAACACCTCCAACCACTCTTGATTCTTTTGAACTTGGTCTTGGCTCATCCACACACATGCTTCAACATATCAATCCATGACTTCCATGACCTAGAGCTAGGTCTTGATGCCCTTTCTTTGCTCTCCTTGACCTAGGGTTACCCAAATGAAACCCTACTTGTACACACCTCAACCATGGCTCTTGAACTTGATACAATGACATGTCTAAGCTCCTTCTTGACTTTCTAGAGACTCATTAAACTTCATTCACACATCATACCCTTGATCAAGACTCCTTAAACCCTGGAGGCTCCTCAGATACCTCCTCACACTTGAAGATAGGCCTCATACAGATGATCAAACTCCTCAAGGACACCCTCTTTTGACATGATACTCTTGATGACTTTTCTATTTTGTATGGACCTCCAGCTAGGCTCTTTCTTTCATATCTCACCCTTGATCCCCTGCCCAATGAATAATGCTATGCTATGCCAATGTTAGGGCTATGTTATGCTATGCAAATGAAATGCAATGAAACATAAATCAAGCAAGAAAAGGTTAAGCAAATTTTGGGGTGCAACACTCATCACCCAAAAAGGACATGTTACGTCCGTTCTACTGAAACAGGTAACGCCTAAGACTCCACGAGCGAGATGCAATACACCTAACTACTAGAATGCGCATGTTAGCATCATCCACCCAAACTTCCCATTTTTCTTCTGTAGTTCCACGAATTACGGATGCTCTGATTTTTCACTTCTCTCAAGTGAAAATACATAAACACAGTTCTAAATCCTTGGCGAGCACCCTAATAAAAAACCAACCCTTTTTCCCTTTAGCAAGTAGACTTTTAGAATAAAACACCCATTCGAGCTTAGACAACTTAGAAGGTTCCCATCGAGTACGATGGATGTGAGGGGGTGCTAATACCTTCCCCTCATATAACCGACTTCTGAATCCGAAACATGGTTGCGATGACCATGTTCTTTCCCTAAAGGTTTTATTGTTATTTCCCTTCCCTCTTTGGGATAAATAAAATTCGGTGGCGACTCTGTGTCATTTTTTGTGTAGCGACAAAAGTGACTAAAGTTTCTTGTTATGTGTCTTTCTAAGTTTTATGCTTATGTTTATGCTAGTTTCATGTTTATGTTTTGTCTCAAACTTTAAGTTATTTTGTGTATGTTTTGCTTATAGGTTGTAATGTTAAGACAAGTTTTATTGTGTTTTAAGTTATTTTTGACATATGTTTAAGTATTGTTTCAAATTTGCTATGCATATCTCTCTTTGTTACTTTTCCCTTCCTTTTGATAATGACAAACTGGGAGAAGAATATGTTGTAGTGTATGGCTATGTCTACCAACTTATGTAGGAACAAAAGTTACTTAAATATAATATTGATCAATCAATAAAGAGATATCATAATAGGGGGAAGTACTTACTCAAGCATCAACATTAAAAACTTAAATCAATTCAAGAGCAATGGTTGTTATCATCAAAAAGGGGGAGATTGTGAAGACAAGCTTATAACATTGTTTTGTGTTTTGATGAAGACAATGAATCAAGCTCAAATGCATTATTAAAGAAGGAAAAATTCATCGTTTCAAAGAAATCTCTTGTGACAAGACTTGGTGCTCAAGAAATCTTCAAAGACATTGGACATTGATGAATTGATCACGGACATAAGGTACAAGTTACAATTGTGCTTTGTTTAATACCTTAATAGCTTAGAACAAAATTTCACTTTTCATCTCAAAGCATCCTAACATGTTTTAAAAATAATTGATTTGAAAACAATGTGGTTACAAGCTGTATTGGGCATTTTCAAAAAGCTGTAACCGGTTACAAGAACGAATATTTCAATTTTTTGAGAAAATTTACAGATATAACCAGTTAACCAAACCTTGTAATTGGTTACAACCATGCAATTTTTGAAAAATCCTTTAACAACTACAACTGTAACTAGTTGCGCCAATATGGTAACCGGATACCACTGAAACAATGACACTTTTTCAGTGTCTTTTTTATTCCAACATTTTCCAAACTTTATCCATGAATTTATAATGATTCTAAAAGGTGCATTTCATATATAAATAGTTGTAGTTTCTGAATTTCAATTTTTCACCTCTTCCTAACAATTCAAATTCAAATATTTCTCAACTTTCATCTAAGTGCATTGAGGCAAAAACTTTGTGAAACTTCTGCATAACTTTTACAACATCACTAAAGTTTCATTTTCAAGTTCTGAGCATTTAATTATTATACATTGTGAATTACGAAAAATAACAACATCATCGCTAACGATCATAATTGAGAAAACTTTAATAATATCAATTAATCTAATTCACCCTCTCTTAGATTACTTTTCATACGTACAAGAGGGTGACCCAGGAGGAATATGAGAGTGTGTATCAAAAGGAATGAGAGAGGTTGGTCCAGGAGGTTCAAGAGAGGTTGATCTAAAAGAAACGAGATAGGGTGCATAAGGAGGAGCAGGAAAGGCTGATCTAGGAGGAGCGGGAGAAGTTGATTGAGGATGGGAGAAGTGAACCGGTGATATGAGTGAGGTAAGTATAAGTTTGATTTAAATTTTGTGTTGTGTGTTGTTGTTGTTTATGCATTTAAATTTATGTAATGTGTTGAAATTGATGAATGTACGCATCCATCCAAATTTAAATAAGTTAAACATAGTTGAGAAAATTATTTTGAGTGGTGCAAACACGAAGGGTAGTTGTTTTTCTCCACATCACAATATTGACACCATAATACCTCAACAAAATAACATGTTAAGACTGTCAAATATGGTAAAGGAGATGGAAGACACCTTCATGATAACATTAAAACATGAATCAAATCAATTTTATATAATTTGAAAGAGGTGTACTTTGGATATTTTGTAAGGAACTAGTTGGCTAGATATAGCCATATTACATTTATGGTGCACATAAATACATATTTTACGGTGATTTCAATTTATAATCATTATTCTTAAATACTTTTAATGTCAAGACTCACATCAAGATTTGACTTTTGTGTTAACACTTAGGTACATATATAAGATGTGTGTTGAAAGAAACTTAACAAAGTATTGTTTCTTAGACCTATTCAATATTCAATTTAAACAATAAGGAACAAACGTTGTCTAGACGTGCATACAAAATAAGTTAATTCAAGAGAAAATAAAATGTTACCTAGGACCATTTTATCATTCATAAGTATATATGAATTTGTGCTTTCTTTTATAAATCAATTTTATACATATTGTTAATTATTCTTGATGTTTATGTGGTTCACATTGGCAATTAATAAATATATGTCTCAAGCAAAATAGTGTAAATATGATATGTTCGTTACACTATGATCTTGATTCAACGATGAAAGACGTTTTAAACACGTAAGTGGTATTATTTGTAATACTCCAAATTTATCTTAAATTATTTTTATTCATGTTTAATTTTTATCAACATATAGAGCTATGAAGAGATACAATTTAATATCTTGTAACATAATGCGTATGTGACTCAAGTCTAATTGGACCTTGAATCCAACCTTTGAAGTCAATTGACCTTAAGATAAAATGAAGTTCAATATTTGTTTAAATTTTTTATTTTTTAAATAAAAATTTAAATTAAGCCAAACCTATGATCTGTTTGATTGGGCCGATTTTATCGATTTTTAATTTAGGCAATTTTAAGATTTGAAAAAACTGGATTTACTTCTGATTCCTAGTCTAACAAGTTAAATAGATTGATCTTATCCGATTTAAGCACAGATAATCCGATTCGATTTGTTATATTGTTAGTAAAACTACCGAACTAAATCAACCAAATTAACTAATGCATTTTGAGATTTTATTTTATTATTATTATTATTTTGATTAGTCACACTCACATTGTATTTGGAGATTTTATATTGTATATTTCTAAAGATATATTTTTATAGTCCTCTAGAGCTTGAATGACCCCACCATTTTCCTAAGCAATACCACTACTTTAAAATAATCTTGCTATCATCTCTTTAAAATATCCAATCTAATCAATCACAAGCCCAGAAAGAAATGGAGTTGTTTATTCCCACATCAACAACAATAATGATGTGGGTTCTTACTGTTATACTTGCTGTGATTCCATGGTTTCTTCTCAACAAGTTGTGGTTTAAGCCAAAGAGGTTTGAAAAACTTCTCATATCTCAAGGTCTTCATGGTGATCCATATAAGATCTCACTATTTGACAACTCAAAGCAAAATCATATGATGAAGTTGCAACATGAAGCTAAATCTAAATCCATTGGTCTTTTCAAAGAAGCTGCACCATCTATATTCTCTCCTGTTCATCAAACTGTTCTCAAATATGGTATACATATATGTTACTCTTCCTTTCTATTTTGATCTTATATATGTACTAGGTTTTGTTTTGTAACTTCAATTTCAAAAGGAAATATATGATTTTAGCCTATGTTTGGTTCTGCGGTGAAACAAATTAAAAATAGATAGAAAGTTCTGCATAAGATGTTAAAGCCTTTTGTTTTACCCATAGCTGATAAGTAAAGGATTTGCAGGAAAGAATTCATTTTTATGGGAAGGTACAACACCAAAGGTTGTCATCACAGACCCTGAGCAAGTTAAGCAAGTCTTTAACATGATTGAGGACTTCCCCAAACCAAAATTATCTTCGATTGCCAAGTATTTGAGCAATGGTCTTATACAATACGAGGGTGAGAAATGGGCTAAACATCGAAAGATTATCAATCCTGCATTCCACATCGAAAAATTAAAAGTAAGGCTATCTTTTATACTGCGGGCTTTGAGTTTTTTTCTTCTTATAACTATATGATTTACTGCATACTATAGGGTATGCTACCTGCATTTACTTACAGTTGCGAAGAAATGATTAGCAAATGGAAGGAATTGTTGTCACCAGATGGAACATGTGAGATTGATGTTTGGCCTTTCCTTCAGAATTTGACGCGTGATGTAATTTCTAGAACAGCATTTGGAAGCAGTTATGTTGAAGGAACAAAAATATTTGAACTTCTGAAGAGGCAGGGGTTTCTTTTGATGACAACACGATACGCAAACATTCCATTATGGTGGTAAGACTCCAATCTGATTTTGGTAAATCTGATAGTCAAATTAGAAGCATGTTTTAGTTTTTGCACTAGTAAACTCACCACCTAGTTTGAGAATGATTTAAGGTACGGCACTTAGAAGGCTTTTACATATTCTTAGCCTGTTAATATCATATTCTTAGTAAAATGAATCATGTTGTGTTTGTTATAATATTAATTAAGTGTATTTCCTTGCATTGAACATCACTATATATGTGTTTTCTAGGATTCTACCAACAACTACCAAGAGAAGGATGAAGGAAATTGATAGAGATATTGATGATTCACTTGTGGGAATCATTGAAAAACGAGTAAAATCTTTTAAGAATGATGAAACTACCAATGACGATTTATTAGGCATACTTTTGCAATCAAATCAGGCCGAAAATCAAGAACATGGAAACAGTAAGAGTATTGGAATGACCACCGAAGAAGTGATAGATGAATGCAAACTTTTTTACAATGCAGGGCAAGAGACCACTTCAGTTTTGCTGGTTTGGACAATGGTGTTATTAGGCCGGAATCCTGAATGGCAAGCTCGTGCAAGAGAGGAAGTTTTGCAAGTTTTTGGAAACCAAAATCCAAACTTTGGAGGGTTAAGTCAACTTAAAATTGTATGTATCACTTCATCACATGATGATTATACTATAAATCTTCTCATTCCAATGATCTGTTAATTTAATACATAACTTTTTTGGAACTAACTGATAATTTATTGTTTCCTTAGGTAACAATGATTTTGTACGAGGTACTAAGGTTATACCCGCCTGCAGTTTACTTCAACCGAGCTATTCGAAAGGATTTGAAACTTGGAAATCTTTTCCTATCTAAAGGAACACAAGTTTCCTTACCAATACTTTTGATTCACCAAGATCATGATATATGGGGCGATGACGCAAAAGAGTTCAAACCTGAAAGGTTTGCCGAAGGAATTGCAAAGGCAACAAAAGGTCAAGTTTGTTATTTCCCTTTTGGATGGGGTCCTAGAGGTTGTATTGGACAAAACTTTTCCTTATTAGAAGCAAAGATAGTCATATCATTGCTACTGCAGAATTTTTCATTTGAGCTTTCTCCCACTTATGTGCATGCTCCTACCACTGTGCTTACTTTGCAGCCAAAATACGGGGCAACCATCATTTTGCATAAATTGTAATGTCAACTATATCTAGCATAAGGTCTTGAGTAACTTGTAGCACTCACATTAATAATCTTTTTCAAATATTCAATCTAATTATTAGATAAAATGCATGTGAGTTTTAGGAAGAAATACATGTGAGTCTCTTTATACAGTAACAATCATTTTGATCTTATAAAGGGTTAGCATTATCATATTAGTATCTATGATATCCAAGCTACAGGTAAACTGTTGACATGTGACTTTTTTTGAGTACTGATGTGAGGTATGGTAGAGATAAATACTCTTGCATAGTTTCCAACATATATAAATCTTATTATGAGATAGAATGTCCCTCGTTTTTACCATTATAGCCTAGGGGTGGATAAAAAGTAGTATCATTTTATATTAAAAAAATTATATCTGAATCAACCTTGAATTTGTTTGAGACAGATATTTAATTTCTTATTTTTGTTAGAGATCGGGGTGAGAAACGAAGATTATTTGCGAATTTGGATTTAAATATGAGAAGGTAAATATCGTATTCACCCTACGCTGTCCCGATGTCATGCCTACTAGTGATACTCCTCCTACCAAACACATGTAGAGAAACAACTTTTAAAAGAAGCCACCTAATAACTCAATATCTTGAGTTTGATAGTAATCTGACTAGACAAACTTTCAACTCTGGCACACACGTTACTCTATTAGTGACTACTTTTTTACTGCATTACCCTACTATGAAATGATATATACTATAATATTTTAGTTTTAAAAAATTGACAAGGGTATCCCATTTCCACACACGCTCGTACACTCAAGTGGCGAGCTAATACTAATTCATTTTTAATGTAGTAGCTCGTCCACTCAAGTGGCGAGCACGTGTTGGTTTCGTTTTTTCTTTCTTTCGTATTTATGTTATGTTTAATTAATTAAAAAAATAATTTTAAATATTAAAAACTTATTATATTAATTTAATAAATATAGACAAATTAAAATTATTATAAAAATATTATATATCATGTTATTTTAAATAATTTAATTTAATTATAATATTAATGTTAAATAATTACTATATATCATGTTTAACTATAATATTTAATTTAATTATAAATAATTATTATTACAATATTATATATCATTTTATTATATTAATGTTATTATATAATATTATATAGAATGAAAAAAATTATGAATGATATAATAATTTAATTTTTTTTTCTTTCATGTATTTTAAAGAATGATTGATGTTCGTCTAAGGAGTTGTATAGTTTTTACAAACTCTCGGCCATTGAATGACCGAGTTCAAACGTAATTTTTTATATAAATAGAGATATTGTGCATCAGCACAAATCATTCGTGTTCAGTGTTTTAAAAATGTCTGTCCGAGCTCTTGTTTTTTATGGACAAGAAAAAAATCAGTATTAACCTAGATCCGCAGTGGAATTTCAGAATCGTAGTTGCAACAATTAACACGGGATTTCGACAGTTGGGTGGTCATCGCACGACGGTGAGAAAAATGGAGTATCGTTGTTCGTATATAACGCTGATTGATGCAAGCCCGAAGGATACGTACATGTATTACTTGGATCGTATAGAAAATAATGAAGATGTCCAATGTATGTTTTCAACACATAGTGGCGAAGTTAACAGAGAAGTCAAAGATCCACTTGTGTTGGTTGTTGTTGTTGATTAACGTGTATGTTAGCTTCTTGAGTTTTATTTTTAAGTTTATGGTTGTAATCTACTAGTATTGTTGTAATCTAAAAGTTGTCTTGAATTACAAATAAATGTTGGATCACATAGAAATCAAGTGCGAGCAAAATATTTTCCAATCAAGTTCCTTGTATAATAAATAAAATTATCTAGACGATCGGTTTGACGGACCGACAACATTTGGACATTTTCTACGCATATGACCTATTTCTCTACAAATCCCACACCTTTTCTTTTCTTTTTCAGCGTCGTCCATTTCAGTTTTAATCCTACTACTGGTTGTACGTCCCTTTTTATTTCTTCTCATGGAATCGTCGTGGCATAGAGTAAAACCTTCATGTTTTGGCAAGTTCTCCTCGTGCGGTAGTCCCAGGAAGCTTTCCTTGTAGAGTTTGAATACGTTAAGAACTGTGAAGACCTCTGGAATGTGAATGATGTAGTCCTGACGTATGCTAGAACATGTTGCGATCACGTGGGAGCAAGGCAAGTGAAATGCTTAAAATTTTCCACAGTCACACCAACGATTCCTCAGGTCAACGTTGAAAGTACCCGTCGGACGACCATCGTTCTGATTAATTTTTTCCTACACCATGAAACAAAATATTTCGCGATCAAATTGCATGACATTATGTGTGTTAGCCTTGGCTACCTCATCAGCCATTCCCTTGTTGCAACCATCTGTGAAAACTTTCTCTGTAGCTAGCATTTTGGTCCATTTGTGTCCTCGTTTACCAAAGAGTGAACCCATTCAATAGTATGTAGACTGGATCAAAGCAGTGATCAGAAGGTTTTTGGTTGCCTTTAGTACAAAGTTCATCGCCTTTGCTAAGTTAGATGTCATATGTCCCTAATGTTGCCCTTCGTCAAATGCTCTAGCTCACTTCTCCATAGGTATGTTGTCTATCCAATTTGAAGCCTCAATGTCTGTTCTTCGTATTTCTCCGTGATAGTAGTTAAATGTAGCATCCGTCAATACGTAACCTGTAATAGAAATTATATGAAAAATATAGTAAAAGTATGATATAATAGTTGAGATAAATGAAATGTATTTTATTACCCATGTTAATAAGTTTTTTGCGTAGTTCTTTGTCCTTAATCTTGCGCATGAAGTTCTGCGCAATGTGTCTAATGTAGTAGACATGTGAAGATGGTGGATGTTTCGATTGTAATATGCATTCTTTATCGATTCACGTCTATCAGAGATTAGACACAAATTAGGTTGTGGTGTCACGTGTAACCTCAGGTTCCTTAGGAAAAAGCTTCATGCTTCCTTTGTTTCACCTTCGACCAATGCGAATGCTATTGGGAAAATGTTTGCGTTTCCATCCTGTGCCACCGCCATCAATAGAGTTCTTGTGTACTTGCCATACAACCACGTCCTGTCTACTTGCACAATGGGCTTACAGTAGGCGAAGCCACGTATACACAGACGAAATGCCCAAAACAGACGATAGAAGATTTGTTTTCCAGAGAGTTGAGAACCTTCATTTGAAATTGCAGGTAGGGTTTGTTGTAACACCCATTTTAATTATTTAGTATTTCCAGTGTTATTTTATTTCGACGTGTCTTTTGTGGGGATTATTTAAGAAGTTATGGCCTTTAATATTAATATAATATAATTGATAATGATAATAATTTGATAATTAATAGTAATATTATTATTATTATTATTAATATTATTGGAATTACTATTATTATTATTATTAATATTATTGGAATAAAGAAATGAGAAATAAGTGTTGAAAGGGGTATTTGTGAGTTTTAGAAGGGGGAAAAAGAAGAACACGATCAAGTGGGAGAAAGAGTGAGAAAGAAGAACAAGAACAAGAGGAAGAAGAACAAGGGAGAGCAATCGGATTCTTGGGCATTCTTCAATGATCGAAGAGATTAATCAAGGTAAGGGGGGAGAAACGGATTGGGATTGGTAATTGCATGAATGAGGTAGTTGGGGATTCCTTAACCCCATAGGAATTTGATGATTATGATTAGAATGTTATTGTGTTTCTGATTGTTGTTTCCATGGATGAATTGTGTTTATGTTGTTAGGAATTGGTGGAATTCTGTTTTTCCAGCCTTGCATGTGATTATGTAGGTATTGTTGGGGGTTCTGATTAGTTTATCGGTTAGGTCGGAAATTATTTAATCGGTAGAGTTGGTATTTTATCGGGTAAGTTCTGGAATAAATACTGTGGTTTAGTCGTAGAATGCTAGGCTAAGACTACTGGGACTGGTGTGGTGAGAATCAGATGAGTTTTGAGCTTCTGATGAACTGAACTAAAGAAAATTTCACCAAAGCAAATGGTGTCTTGATCTTCATCTTCACTAGTGTTGCACCCCAAAATTTGACCAACCGGTTCCCATATTTGGTTTATGGTTCGACGCATTTTGCATTCGCATTCGCATACCGCATATGTTGCATTTTCTCATTCATATTGATTTTATCGGGATCACAGTCTCCCCTGGCGCTTCAGGCATTTCAGGCCAATGCGAGGATTTATTTTGAGAATTGGTGCTCGTTCCCGGTGTTTTCAGGCCATTTAGGTGTCCGATTTTTACCGCTTATTTTATTATAATTGCGTAGTTGTTCTCTAATCGATTTAGTCAGCTTCTTGACTGTTTTAGAATTTTCCCTTTTATTTTCTAGATTTTTAATGGATTTTAATAGATTTTTTATAGATTTATTTGAGTTTTTTAGATATTAAATAAGTTTTATTATTTTCTAGAATTTAAATAGAGCCTTTAGTTGTTTTTAAAATTTTATTAGCTTTAATAGCATTTTTTAGAATTTATAGAATATTATAGATTTTATAGAATAAGTAGTTTTAAATAGATTTTAATCTAGTAAATAGAGTTAATGGTTTTAATATAGAATATAATAGTTTTTTGTATTAGAATAATAATAGATTTTCTTTTATAGAGAATTAATAGAATAGAAAATAGTTCTTTTTATAGTTTTTTTTAATAGGTTTTTAATAGTAATTTTAGATATAGAATAATATAGAAATTAATAGATTTTTAGGATAATAGAATTTATTAGTTTTAATAGATATTTCTAGAGATTTAATAGATTTTAATAGATATTAATAGAGTTTAATATGGTTTAAATCACTTTTTTTTAAAATCAATTTCTTTTAAGAATTAATTAGGTGTTAATTAGCATTTTAGAAAGTTTAATTGGATTGATTAGTTTTAATTGGGTCTAGAAGGTCTTAATTTCAGTTTAGTATTAATGGGACCTTTTTAACCATCACTAGCATTTTAATTAGGTTAATTAGGAGTTAAGGGTCATGATTAGTCCATTTTCGTTTTATTAATAAGCACTA